ACATCAATAAGATCAGGATCGGTTTCGCGCTGATCGGCTTGGTGGTGGTTAAGCTCACCTGTGTGTGGTTCTACTCTTTCAGTTCGGGTGTTCCACAAACACCATCTTCATTCTTTCGTGATTGGGGACTGGTGGACTACTGCACCGCGGGCGTTGAGCAAGTCGGGGTGGGTTTGCCTCTCCGACGCGCCGACACCAACCTTACGTGCGACCAAATTGACTGCGGCTGTTGAGATGGCGCTGGTTGTCTTGGGCACCGACATGGACTCCAGACTGCATCCTCGAGTGGACCACGAACCTTCTCAAGCGGTTCGTGATGCTGGAGGTTAACTTCTCTCAGGTGGAGGTACTCCAGAGTTCGGGTACTTCACAGACACCATCTTCTTCTGATGATGATCATGCTGATTTCGATGATGATCGGGTTCAAGCTTGCGGGGGTCGGGGGCAGGGCTCACCTACCGCGCTGGCTCTACACGCATGCACGGCCAAGGCGGGGGCCCGAGGCCCCCTCGGGGCCCCGCGGCAGCCAGGAGGCCTGGGCCGCCCAGCAGCCCAAGCCAGATCCAGCTGACGAGGCAGGGCGCCCCCGGGCTGGCCGCCCACGCGACACGGGCCAGGGCCCCCGGCCGCGCGGCGCCCAACGAGGCCGCCGCGCCGCAGAGCGAGGAGCAGCATCATGCGTGGCGACCGGCCCCGGGGCGGGAAAAAAAAGGAGACGGGGCCCCTGCGACGCCTCACGGGGCGGAGGTGGGGGGGGCGGCCACGTCGCCCCGGCCCGCGTGGCTTCTTGGCGGCCTCCCGGGGAGGGCTCCGTGGCCACAGCGAGCCGTCCTGGAACGGTCTTCGGGCATCTTGGGGCACCTTGGGAGCCATCTTGAGCCAGCCTGGGCTCTCTTGAGCCATCTTAGAGGTCGTCTTGGGCTGGCTCTCTGAGGCCGCTCGGGGGCCTCCCGGGTGCCTCTCGGCTCGGGGAGGGGCGTGCGGGCCCGTCTCGGGTGGGGGGCTGGGGGGGGGGGGGCGTCCAGCAGAGGGCGCGTGGGAGGCCGTGCGTCGCGCAGCGCGGCCTGTCTGGGACGGAGGGCGCGGGGCGCTCTCGGCTCGCGCTCGAGGCGGGCGGCAAGGTTGCGCGGCAGGCTGCCGTGGCTGCTGGCCTCGCCGCCCGCCCCGGCGCCTCCGCGGCCTGCTCCTCGGCCTCCCGCCGCCCTCCTGGCGCGGCGGCTCGGGCCTCGCGCCCGCGCCCCTCGGGGCCTCGCCACGCGCACTCCGCGCGGAGGCGGCGCAGCGCGGCGGCGCGGCGGTCGGAGGCTCCGCCGCGCGCACTCCGCGCGGAGGCGGCGCCGCGCGGGGCGGCGCCGAAGGCCAGCGCGCTGCCGCCGTCGCCGAAGGTCCACGGGCGGTGGCCCTGCGCCGTGCTGGCGTGCCACCATCGCGGCCTCTCCGCTGCCGCTGGCGACCGGGCCACGGCTGCCCCCGCCGCAGCTGCAGCCGCGGGCCTCGCGCGTCCCCCGCCGCGGCAGCGCCCCCGCCTCCCGTGCCGCCGCTTCGGCGTCTGTCTGCGCCGTCAGTGCCGCTGCGGCCATCTCCGCCGCAGCAGCTGCCGCTCTGGCTGCGCTCGCGGCGCCTCTGCTGCCGCCGGCGCCAGAGTTGCCCGTGTAGAATGAGTCGTTCTTGGTCGAGTCGTCCCGTCCTCCCGCTCGGCGTCGAGCCGCCTGCGCGGTGGTGGCGGGGCGTTGGCCTCGACCTCGGACCTACCTCGCCCTCCAGCTCTCGGCCCACGAGGCTCCCACCCGCTGCCGCCGCTGGGTGCGACTGTTCCGCGCGCGCTGCCATGCCTGCTCGCACATCTCCTCGGCCAGCCTTCTGCGCTGGGCTCCCGCCTGGTCGGCCGCCAGCCCGATGAAGATGCCCGCCAGCTCGTCCGACAGGAGCGCCGCCGGGGTGCGGGCCACGCAGTCTGCCGTCCAGCTGCGCTGCCCGACCGCCTCGCCGACTGTCCCGGGGCCTCCGCACGACGTCCTTGCGAGCGCCACCACGTGGCCCTCCGCCTCGAGGGCTCGGGCAGTGGACCACAGCCGTTGCTGCGTCCCGTGGGGCAGTTTCGGGTTCGTGCTTTGTGGTTTTCGGGCGTCGTCGACCTTTCTCGGCGGTTTTCCAGCCTCGGGGCGCGCTCCAGCAGCTGCGCCTCGCCGAGGGCGTTCCAGGGATGCCCGGGTCGTCTCGAACGGCCACCGGGGAGCCGAGTTATGACCGAGAAACCACGTGGCGCTGGCGTGCGTCGTGCCTCTGCGAAGGGCACCTCCCTCGGCCGAGTGCTGCTGCAGCGCCACCGCGTGCCCCGCCCAGGAGGGATGGGTCGCCGCCTTCACCGGCCTCCCCGACCGCGTGCGACTCCGCCGAGGGCGAGCTCTGGGTCGATTCTGCAGACGGTTCCCTGACGTCCCCTCCTGGGCGGGCTCGCCCTGCCGCCCAGCGTTGCGCCGAGCCTCCTCCGCTTAGCCCCGTACATCCAGTGCCCGGCGCTGCTGTCCGCGACCGAGGTGCCGCGCGCCCTGCATGACCGCTGCCGGCATTGGGGCCCGCCGCCCTGGCAGCGCGCGGCGCTGTGCTTGCCGCGCCCGCCCAGGCAGCGCGTGGGCGTGGCCTCAGCGGCGCCGTTGGCGTCGGCTGCCGTCAGCAGGCTGCCGCCGATCTGCGCTGCCTCGCTGGTCCATCGTGCCACTGAGGCGGCGATGTCGTCGGCGAGCGCTGCCCCGGCCACCGCCGTCTCGTTCATCGGGTGCAGGGCGGCCCCCTCCTTGGCGAAAGCGTCCGCCGCCTGCTGCCCACGCAGTCGTCCATCTTGGTGGCCCCGCCGTGCACTGGGCGCATCGTCGCGTGCCCCTTCACCTTGGTGACTCGCACGAGCTGGGGTCCGCCGACGTCCTCCACTGCGTGCCAGAACTCCAACAAGGTCTCCTGGTACGGGCGGCCCCAGTCGCAGCACCAGGCCCTGCCTGCTGCGAAGCCCGTGACGAGGACCTTGCAGTCGGTCCTGATCTCGAGGATGCCTTCGGGCCCTGAGAGTCCCCATCTGAGGGCCCGCGCCGCCGCCATGAGCTCGCCCGAGTTGGTGTCCTGTGGGAGGTGGGCGGAGACGCATCCCCAGGCTCCATTGGCGTTCCCGCGGACCTGGAGTGCCGCGATGCCCATCCCGCTCGCCTCTCGGCTGAGCCCGCCTTGCAGTGCAGCGCGGAGCAGTCGGTGCAGAGGCAGGCGGTGCCTGCCAGCGCCGCGCACCTGCTGCGGTGGCTCCACCGTGCAATCTCGGTGTCCAGCGCCTTGGGGATCCCGTCCGCCTGCACGGGAATCAGTGCCCCTGCGAGAACTGCGGGTCCTCGGTGTCGGGCTCGGCTGCCGCGTCGTGGATCGCCTGGAGCACTGCGGCGCCCGCAGCAGCGCCCCGCCGCTCCGCTGCTGGGCCTGGCCGGCGCCACGCGAGGTGCCGCACACTGTGCCGCCACAGCGGCAGCCCGCGGGGCAGGCTGCCGATTGGCATGGGTCCAGCTCCGCACGGCGCGCGACGGGCCACCGGCCGCCCATGGCCACATCCCGTGCGCTGGACCAAAGCGACCGCTGCGCCGTGCTTGCCTTCGCGCCGTTCGCCCTGCGCCTCAGCCCTCGCGTAGCGGCGCCGCTGGCGACGATCGTGAGCTCGGGCGCCCTGGCTGCCGCCTCTCGCCAGAGCCACCGCTGGTGCGAGCAGCGGATCGGCCCCCTGAGGGTGTGGCCGCCCATGGCCTCCCGCTTGATCGCGGTGCCGTTTTCCGGTGTCCAGCGGTTCAGCGCCGTAGCTGTCCAGCCGAGCCGCTCCAGCGCTGCAAGCGTCGCAGCTGCCAGGCCGCGCCCCGCGAGCGCTGCGTGCCCGTCGGCTCGGATCGCCGCTGCATGGCGCCATGCCCATACCTATGCTATCTCGTGCGCGATGCTTGGGCGGTTCCGCATCAGCCCGCACCCCCAGGTCAGCATCGCCTGCTCGGCTTGGGCGCACCAGGGGTCGCGCCACGGCGCCGCCGAGCACGCTAATCGAGCCGACCTGCAGCGCTCGGCCGCTCGCCCCGCCGAAGGCCGCCGAAGGTGAGCTCACCACCTACCAAACCACCCCAATCCAGCCCGAAGGCCTCAATCCGCCCTCCATTTCCGGTGGGGCGCGGGGGCGGGGAGCCCTTGACAAGAACGCATGGAACCCCGACCCCCCCCAACCCGAAGTTCGGCTCGCATGCGGGTCTTCGGCTTGGGTTGGGGGTGGTCTGGTATAGGTAGTCACGAGCGTGTCCCTGGCCGACCGCCAGCGCTCCGCGCCTCCGCGCTGCTCCGCGCCGGGGCCCCGCAGCCACAGGCCGCCGCTGACCCCCGCGCGACCCGCCGCACCTGGCCGCCACCCGCGCGACCTGCTCCGTGGCCCTCGGCCCCGGCGCGTCGCCGGCGGGCCACCGGCTCGACCGCGCCGCCGCCGAGCGTGCAGCCGACCCCCGAGGTTCTCGCGCTCCCATCGCACTCGAGGACCACATCCCAGACATAATCTCGAGCACCCAGAGGCGTATCGAGACGGTGTCGAACGCGTAGCGCCTCCCAGGGCCCCGCACACGTGAGAACCTTGCAGTTTCGGTGCCTTCCTGCTGCTCGAACTTCTTTGTGGTGGTCAAGGCTAAAGTAGGTTGGAACAGCGTGACCCCCGAGGTTCTTCGTCGTCTTCGTGGCCTTCGCCTCGAGGGTGCTGCTCCTCATGGCGGCTCGGACGGCGGATGCCGTCTCGGTGTCCGTGGCGAGGATCTACGTCGTGGAGTCGTGGAGGCCTTTGCATCCCCGCGCGCACGGGCCCGCTGCCACCGCCGACCTCGAGGCCACTGCACGTGCCTCGCAATGGTCCGCGCCACTTGCCCGAAGCAGGGCACCGTCGGTGTCGTCGAAGGACGCGCACGTGCAGGACTTGGTCTCCCTCTCTCGCTGCTGGCGCCATCGTCCTCGGCGTGCGGGCCTCCCGCCAGCAGGCCCCGAGGACGTGCTCCGCTGCGTAGGCGCTGCAGCTGTGGATATGCGGCGCCTCCCGCGGCAGGTGGACGTGGCGCAGCGCCGCCGCCGCCCGTGGAGGCCTGCACGACTGGTATAAGGCGCTCTGCTCGCGATCGCCCCCCCCTCTTGTGGGCCTTCCCGAGGGCGAGCAGCAGCGCCGCTCCCTTCATGCCCATGGCGTTGGCCGCCTCGGCTGCCAGGGCCTGGCGCGAGGCGGACTCGTGGGCCGATCGGCCAGGGCCGCCCCAGAACGAGCCCGCTCCGCTGCGTTGCAGGCCCGCCTCCCGCCGCCGCGCCGCTGGCTGCCGCAGCTTGCCCTGGAGCCGCGGGATGCCGGAGAGCAGGCCGATTGGCCGCCAGCCTCCCGCGGGCTTCGGGAACACCGCGACGAGCGGGGAGCGCTGGAGGACCCCACGACGCTCGCCCGCCTCGGGGCGAGCTGCAGCGATGGCGGTGCGGAGCTGCTCGCGGCCGAGCCGCGGGGGAGCGCGCGCGGGACCGCCAGCACCAACCACCCGCTCAGCCATGGCCGGCTCCGGCGCAGCCTCCGTCTCCTCGGCTCCCAGGCCGTCGATCACCTCCGCCTCGGCTCGGGCGGGCGCGTCGGCGTGGCCGCTGTCGTCCGCGACTGCCGCAGGCTCCTTGCCGACTGCATCGCCGGGCCCCGCGGGCGCCGTGGGTGCTGCCGACCTTGCTGCAGCCTCGCCGCCGCCCTCCGTGGGCACCGTCGCCTTGCCCCAGCTCTCCAACATCTGCATGGCTGCGCGGCCACCTCGGGCGGCGGGATGCTGCCTGCCGCGGCCTTGAGTTTGCCGACCGTTTCCAGGAGGAGCTTCTCGCGCTCGGCTGGAGTGGTGACCACCTGCGCAGCTGCAACCTGAGCGCGCTCCTCGGTGAGGGCGGCCCGCTCCTGCTGCGTAGTCTCGAGCTCTGTCTGCGCCGCTGCGAGGGCCACCCCGCATGCCTCGACGTTCGCCTTGTGCGTCGCGATGCGCCTGCCGAGATGCCCCAGCGTGGTGTCGATGGCGCGCAGCCGCTCGGAGCCTCGGCGCGCCGTGCCTCCGCGAGGGTGGTGGCCTCCTTCTCGTCCTTCTCGAGGAGGTCGAGCACCGCCGCCTCCGAGGTGCCGAGCGCCTCCATCATGGCGATGGCGGGGGGAGGGGTGGCGCAGCTCGTCCAGCCTGCCGCCGTCCTCGGCCGCTGGCGGGCCCCTGGCGCTGGCCCCCGCCGTGCCGCGGGGAGGTCGAGCGCCGCGGCTCCGTGGGCTGCTTCGCGGCGGCCTCTCGGCCCCGCACGCCCTGCACGCGGCGCGCGATGCCCAGCTGCTTGTCGCGCCGCACGAACGGACCAGGGCGCCCCGCTGCCCTCCACCGCCGCCGCCGCCGCCGCCGCGGGTCGCCGTGCTCTTCGAGGCAGGGCCGCGGTGGCTCTTCGGGATGCTGGCGCTCTCCGCCAGCAGCTTTCTGGAGCTTGTCGTTCTGCTTGCCCGCCCACGCCGCCTGCAGCAGCCGCGCCCGCTGGCGATCGCGGCGCGTGCGGTGATGCCACGTTGCTTCGCGCTCCGTTGTTGCGCTAGTCTCAGCGCGAGAGCTCGCGCCAGCCTGGCCGGTGCACCCAAAGCCCTCGAACCACAACGATGATGATGATGTTGATGATGACGCTGCTGCTGCTGCTGATGATGCTGATGATGATGGTGACGATGATGGTGATAATTATGATTATGATGATGATGATGATGATGATGATGATGATGATGATGATGATGATGATGATGGTGGTGATGATGATGCTGGTAGTGATGACGACGGTGATGGTGACGATGACGACCACGATGACGATGACGATGATGCTGCTGGTGCTTCTGCTGCTGCTGTTGATGATGCTGCTGACGACGAGGATGAGGATAAGGATGAGGATGAGAATGAGGATTCGGATGATGATGAGGAGCCAGATGATGCTGCTACTGCTCTACTGTACTGCTGCTGATGATGATGCTGCTGCCAATGTTGGTGTTGGTGATTGAGATGGACATGATTATGATGCCGTTTCTGCTGCTGCTGATTATTGAATCGCTTCGCTCATTCCGCCGGCCCATTTCGCATGACTGAGCCTCTTGGGGCCGCTGGGGGGCCTCGTCAGCGTCGCTTGGGGGCCTCCTGAGGGCCTCTTGGGGGCTTTGGGGGCCTCTCAGGGGCCTCTTGAGGCCTCCTGGGGGCTTCTTAAGGCCGAGGGCTCGAAGTTTTGTTTTGTATTCCCCCTTTGGGGCATCGCTTGGGGCCCTCTTGGGCCGTCTTGGATGCCTCTGGGGCCGTCTTGGAGCCCTCTTGGGCCATCTTGGGGCCTTCTTGGGAGCTTCTTGGGCCCTCTTGGGGCGATCTTGGGGGCCTGTCGGGCCGTCTTGGGGCGTCGGGAAGCCGAAAAGATGGACACGCCAAAATCTGCCCCAAACCTGAGGAAAAGTGATGAATTTTGCCTCTTGGGGCCCTCTGGGGAGTGCTCTTGGAGGTCTCTTGGGGCGTCTGGGGGCCATCTTGGGCGTCTTGGAACGATCGTGTGGCATCTCGGAGCACTCTTGAACCATCTTGGAGGGCTCTTGGCGGCCTCGTGGCCCTTCTTGGGGCTCTCTGGAGGGCCACGGGGGCGGCGCCCAGGAGGAAAACCATCTCTGACCCGAGTCTGCCGGGGATCGCCCGGGGTACTTTTCGTCCGGGGACCCCCAGGGGCCGCCCCGCGCGCGCGAAGTAGAAGTATTATTTAGCAGTTACCGGAGATCTTAGCACGCCTCTGGCCTGTTGGGCCTGCGAATACAGATGATGGTGGTGGCGGTGGTGATGATGATTTCGAGAATGATGAGGAGGGTGCAGGACGACGACGATGAGGATGCTATGACGATGATGCTGACGTTGCGGCTTCTGCTGCTGCTGCTGCTGATGATCATAATCATCATGACGACGATGATGCTGATGCTGATGATGATGAGGATGAGGATGACGATGATGATGGCGATGATGACGATGACGGCGATGACGATGGTGACGATGATGATGATGATGATGATGATGAGAAGGAGGAGAAGGAGGAGAAGGAGGAGGATGCTCAGGAGGCTGCTGCGTTTGCTTCTGAGAAGGAGGAGGAGGAGGAGGAGGAGGAGGAGGAGAAGTGAGAACTGAAGAGGAGCAGAAGGAGGAGGATGAGGAAGAGACGGATGATGGAGGAAAGGCGAGGAAGGATGATTCTGTGAATGAGAGTGAGACAGACAAGATCTTCGTTCCAGGCTGAGGCAGTGACATACATCCAGGCTTTTCTTCGATTGTTTTCACGTTCTGCCAGTGGCTTACGTCCCTCGCTTCTCTCTTCGCTTTACGCCGCCGCAGGTAGGCAAGGTGGCCCCTGGGTTTCCGCCGAACTTTCGAGTGCCGCTGTTTCGTGCATGTCTCGCTTCTTGGCGCGAGCGGCACCTCTGCCAGCGCGAGCGCAGAAGAGCACGAAGAGGGGGATGAGGTCAAGTACGAGCCAGTAGTTGGAGGAGGGGGAAAGGGGGGAGGAGGAAGAGGAGGAGTAGGAGGAGTAGACGCAGGAGATGGAGGATAGTGAAGAGGTGGTGGAGTAGGAGTAGTAGTAGGAGGAGGGGGAGGGGGAGGGGGAGGAGGAGGAGAGGAGGAGGAGGAGGAGGAGGAGGAGGAGGAGGAGGAGCAGGAGGGAGGAGGAGGAGGAGGAGGAGGAGGAGGAGGAGGAGGAGGAGGGGGGGAGGAGGAGGAGGAGGAGGAGGAGGAGGAGGAGGAGGAGGAGGAGGGGGAGGAGGACGAGGTGGAGGATCACCAGGTGGAAGAGGAGAAGCTGGAGGACAAATATGGTCAGGAAAAGGAGGTGGAGGACAAGGAGGAGGAGGCGGAGGAGGAGGAGGAGAAGGAGGAGGAGGAGGAGGAGGAGGAGGCGGAGGAGGAAGAGGAAGACAATGAGTGATTGTGCAAGCGGAGCAGAAGCGCGGACAGAGCTGCCTCGCGGACCACGCCAGATAGTGTTCAGCACCTATGGCGACTCCGTGGGGTGTGTGCTGCGCTGCCGGAGTCACTCGCAGTTTGTTTGGCCGTCTCTGCTACGTGGACGAGGATGAGGGAATGAAGAGGATGATGCCGATGATAGAGGAAACGGAAGTGCGGCAGCAGGAGAGGGATGAGGCTGAGGAGGACGAGAGGCCGAGGGATCGGAGGTGAGGGGGTGAGATCGCAGTGACACGGAGAGCCCCCCACCGGGAAATCGGTCTCGGTTTCGCGCTCGTGTCGTGCATGCGGGCGAGGCGGAGCTGCGTGGGCGGGCGAGAGATGAACCTTCCTCTGGCTAGGGTGCCGCCGGGCCGAGTGCGACCGATCGTGAGATCGACGGTGAGACCGATAGGGAGATCGATCGTGCGATCGACAGTGGCCTCCGTGTACCGACACGTCGGCGTAACTCGGTGTATTCTCCTGCGCCGCCCGACGCCTGTTGCAAACTTTGGGCTCGGTGCGTCGACGTAGTTCGGTGCATCCTCCTTCGCCGCCCGACGTCTGCTGCCATTTGGGCTCGCGCGCTCGGCCGTTTGTGAACAGTGGTTGAGCGCATAGATGCTGGCTCTTGGGCCGTGCGCCCTCGGGTCCGACGGCGCCCTCGGCGCATGGCTCGCCGCCGGGCCCCCCGCGCGGCGGCGGGGAGAGGGGTGCGAACAGAGCTGGCTGCGGGCACCGCCGACAGCGGGGCCCCGTTCGCACCGGCCTTGCCGTAGAGGTACATATGGTTTGCTGGGCCTCCGACTCGGGGTCTCAACATGCACCAGCGGCGCCCCGCGCGCATGGCGCGTCGCAGTGCGGCGGCTCTTCCCGCAATTCGCCCAGGGAAGGAGCGGCAGCATCGTCAACGGCGGCGTCGAGAGCTTCGTCGACAGCATCACAGACCACGGCGGGCGGGAGTTTTGCCGACAGCTGCGCCGAAAGCTTCCCCGAGAGCTGCATCGAGGCTTCGTCGACAGCGTCGCCGACAGCTTCGCCGACAGCTCCGCCGACGGCTTCGCCACTAGCTCCGCCGAGTGTTTCGCCGACGGCTTCGCCGACAGCTGCGCCTGGGAGCTCCGCGGGGAGGTCCGCCGAAAGCTGCGCCGACGGCTTTCGCCAACGGCGGCCGCGTCGACAGCTTCGACGACAGCCTCGCCAGCGGCCTCGCTGGCAGCTCCGCCGACACCTGCGCGTCGACTTCGCCAGCGACAGCTCCGCGCAGGGCTTCGCCGACGGCCTCGCAGACGGCTTCGCCAGCAGCTTCACACGGACCTCGGCGCCGACGGCTTCGCGGACAGCCTCGCCGGGAGCTGCGCCGACAGCGTCGCCCCATCGCGAACTTCGCGTTAGGTCGGGCATGTCCCCCTACAGGCGGATTTTTCGATTAAAGATCATAGCTGCTCAAAAAAAGCAAAAACAAACACAGAAAAGGCCAAATTTTCATTTAAACGCTGTCTCCGTTTTTCTAAATGCTACACTATTCCTCCTGTAGAGGGACCTGCCCGATCTGAGCCTGGCGCTGGGCGCAGCCTCTGGGGGCAGAAGCGGGGGCTCAGGGAGCCCGTTGACGTCTGTGAGCTTTGGCGGGCCCGTCGCGACGGACCAGCAGGAGGTGGCGCCCGCCGTGCAGTAGGCGAGCAGGGGCCCCGCGTGCCTCCAGGAGATCGCACCGCCCCGCGCCGCCTCGCGCGCGCGCCGTGGGCGCGGCCCCCTCCTCGTCGCGGGGGCCTGCGCTGGGCTCGGCTCTTGGGGGGGCCTAGCGCTGCAGCGGAGGATCCCCCCGTGCTCCTCGCGCGGCCCCGTGGGCTCCCTCGCGAGGGAGCTCGGCGGCGCCCAGTCTCTGGGGGCCGGCGCCCAGGCGGGGCGTCGGCCGCCCTCGCGAGGAGGCTCGGGCTGGGCCTTGTCGCGCGCTTTCGCTGGGGCAGTCCTGAGCCGTGGTCTCCCGGCAGAAGCCCCCGCGGCGAAGGCGCCCGCCCCGTCCTGGCCCCTGCTCCGCCGCGAACGGGGGCGGGCGTTCTGGCAGGGGCGGGGGGGCCTCCGCGCGGCGGGTCTCAGGGGGGGCTTCGGTGTCGCGCGGCGCTCTCGCACGTCGACCCCCCCCTTTGCGCGCTCGCGCCGGAGGGGTCCTCGCCAGGTCGACGTCGACCTCGCTTGGTCCAAGACTATTTGGATATGAGCCATTGCGGCGCTGACCTCGCTTGGTCCAGACCGCGGCCGCGCCCGGCCGCCCGGGGCCCGCTGCGACGCGCCTCGCAGGCATTCCGCGGCGGGCCTCGCAGACCGTCGCCTTCGAGGCAGAGCAGGCCATTCGACAGGCTTCACAGGCCATTGCATCGCAGGCGTCGCGAGCCTCTCTAGAGAGACGCAGCTGGAGGACCTCGGCGCGATGCGCGGGCAAACAAGAACAGCGGGGCGGACGCGAGGGGAAACTTCGCCGACAGTTTCGCAGACAGCTGGACCAACGGCCTCGCCGATGGCTTCGCCCGCGGCGTCGCCGGCGTCGGGGGCGCCGCCAAGGGCTGGGGCGACGGCCTGGTCAACGGCTTCGCCGACGGCGTCGCCGACGCCCTCGTTGACAGCGCCGACGGCCGCGCGGACAGCTTGGTTAATTTTTCCAGCGGTAGCTTCGTCGACGGTTTCGCCGGGGGCCCCGCTGTGAGCCTCGCCAGCTGCTTCCCTGATGGCCCAGCGGGCCACGGCGCCGATAGTTTCGCCGACGGCTTCGCCAGCGGCGTCGCCGACGGCCATCCGCGAAGCTATGATGGCAGCCTCGTCGCCGGTATCGTCGACGGCTCTGCCGATGGCCTCGCCTGCGTCTCCGCCGACGCTTTGCAGCGGCCCCATTGGCAGGTTGTCCGACAGCGGTTGACAGATCCGCCCCGCCAGGAGCTCCGCGGGCAGTTTCGCTGACAGATTCGCCAGAAGTTTGGCGGGCAGATCCGACAGCTGCTTCGCCGCCAGCTCCGCAGACGACGGCGCCTACGGCTTCGTCAACGGCCTCTTCGACAGCTGCGCCGTCGGCGGGGCGGGCCGCAGAGCCGACATCTTTGTCGACGGCTGCGCCGACGGCTTCGTCGACAGCTTCGTCGAGAGCATCGCCGATTGCATGGCCAATTGCTTCGCTGATGGCGTCGCGGACAGCGGCGGCGACGGCGCCGTCGACTGCTGGGCCGGCGGCTTCGTCGACGGCTCCGCAGGGGGCCACGTTGATTGTTTCTTTCGATTTGGGAGAGGGCGGCGTGGTTTGCCAGGGGTGCCAGCGCCGCGTCGCGAGCCAGACGGCGGCTGCAGCCTCCGAGAGCGTGGGCGAGGGCTCGGGGAGCTCGCGAGGTCCACGAGCCGCAGAGGCCCCGACGAGATGGACCAGCAGGATGCAGCCCGCTGAGGAGAGCGCCATCAGGAATCAGCGGCGGGGCTCGACGCGGCCCTTCGGGGCGGGACACTGCCGGCGCGCCGGCGGGAGAGCGGCCGCCGCGCGGCCCAGGGCGCGAGCATGCAACCGCGCGCAGCCCGCGCCGAGCTCGGCTCGAGGGGGGGCGCTTCGGGGCCTCGCGGCACGCCCGCATCTTGCTGGGTCGGGACAGTTGGATCGTCGCGCGACCCGGATCGTCTCGCGATCGGCGCGAGCCATTGCGGCGCCGACGTCGCCCGGTCAGGTTCGAGGCTACGCCGGTTTTCCGGGCCCCCCCCGCGACCGCGACGGGCAACTGCGGCGTCGACGACGAGCAGCGCGGTGGCGGCGCAGCAGCGACGTCGCGCAGCGGCGCCAAAGCTGAGCACCAACGCTGAGCAGAACGGACGCTCAACAGCGGCTCCGACGCGGCGCGGCCCCCTCGCAGAGCAGCAGCGCCGACGCTGGGCAGCCGCGCCAGCGATGCGCAAACAGCACCGTCGTTGCGCAGCGCAGCGGCGCCACCGCTGAGCAGCGCCAGCAGTGAGCGGCAGCGCCGACGCAGTGCGACAGCACGGGCGCTGGGCGGCAGCGCCGCAGCACCGACGGAGCGCAGCTGCGCCGACGCCGCGGTGACCAGCGGCTCTACGTGCAGCGGTGCCGCGCAGCTTCTAGCAGACCTAGGCGCAGCAGCTCCGGCGCAACCAGCAAGCGCGAGCAGTCGCGCAACCGGCAGCCCCGCGCGCGGCATCGGCGCGTGCGCGGCCAGCTGCACCACCGCGACTCGCGGCGCCGCGGCGAGGCGCGGCCGCTTGAAGCGCATCCCCGAGCGCGTCTCTGGCGGGCGGGAGGCCTATCGCCGGGGCCCCGACCGGTGGCGCCCCCAGCGGCTCCTCGGTCGGCGCTGGCCGTAGCGCCCGCAGGCTGCGCTGACTGCGCAGGCGGGGCCGACTGCGGCGTCGCCGTCAGCGCTGGCCAGCGCCGCGCGCGGGCGCGCCGGCGCCGCCCGCGGCGCGACGCTGGCCGCAGACCGCAGAACCGCGCGCAGAACCGCGCGCAGCAGCGCCGGCGCAACCAGCGGCGACAGCGCGGCCGCCGTCTCCGACGGCCAGCCCGATGGCGACGCCGCGAGGGCGGGGCCTTGTCTGCCCGAGGTTCGGCCGCGAGGGGGGCTGCCCAAGACTCGGCCTGAAGGGCCCCCGCCCCGCGGCAGCGTCGCCGGCGTGATCCGCGGCGCCTCGACGACCGGCGACGCCCGACGCCGTGACAGCGCCGGCTGCGGCGCGGTCGGCAGCGCGGCCAGCGGCGACCGCGGCGACCGGCAGCGCCACGCCGAGCAGCGCTGCGCTCGGCAGCCCCGCGCGCAGCAGCTGCGCGAGCGCGGCAGGCCAGTCGCGGGCGGCCGCGCGCCTTCGAGCCGCGACGTCCAGGATTAGTCGACGACGCGCTTCGGACGGCGCCGCCTGCGCGAAGGGCGACGGGCCAGTTGCGAATCTGGATGGGCGGGTCCAGGCCCAGGGCGTCGAGGCCGCCCTGGCGAGCGACGTCGTCCGCGGCGGCGAGTTTCCAGCAGGTGGCGCTGGCGAATCTCGAGGTGGCTCTTGGGCGGCCGTGCCGGCGTGGACAGCGGCGCGGAGGCGATCGGTTGAGACTTTTCGAGGGCGGGCTCGAGACGGGCGCGCGGAACGCCCGCGGGGCGCGTTCGAGGACAGGCAGGTCAACTAGGGCGCCCGCGACGTGGCGGAGCGCGACGCGGGGCAGATCGAGCAGGGCCCGCGCGCCGGGGGCGGCGCCGAACGTGCTGGCCATCAGCGGCGACGCGGCGCCCGCCTTCTGGCGGGCCGCGGGGTCGACGGCGCCGTTGTGTGGATGGGGTTGGCGATCGGCAATCGGTTCTCAGCGTTGGCGGGGGGCGCAGACGCGGGGGGCTGGGCGACGTGCCGGGGCGCGCGCGGGGGGCCCGGGCAGCGCGCGGATCGCCGCGGAAAGCCCAGACAAGATCGCTGTCTTGCGGAGTGAGCGAAGGCAATCGGTCCTCCGCCCCGGCGGAAGACGTGGAAAGAATTCCGGCAGAAAACCCGTTCAACGTGCCCAGACGTCGACCGGCCAGCCGATCGACATCGCCCGCGCAAGGAGTTCCCCGCGGCCGCGAGGTCGCGCAGGGGCAGCAGCAGGAGGGGGAAGAACGGCCGCGCGCCGTCAGGCTACACCAAGACGACGTTGTACATCAGGCTGCGCCTGCGCGCGGCGCACGGCGCCATCGCGCGGGTCGCAATCCGCCGGGCCAGCGGCGCCCGCCCTTCGCTGGCAAGCAGCCGGAGGACAGAAGCTAGCCCCCGGGACGACGTCGAGTTGAACGGGTCTATGCTGCTCTTCGGGGTGCGCGTCGCGGGGGGCGCAGCCCTGTCAGCGGCGCGATGGCGGGCGGGCCGTCGCCGCGGCATGGAGGCCGACGGTGCCTCCAACGAGGCCGCGGCGAATCGGCCAACAGCTTCGCAGACGGATCGGTCGAAGGTCGCGTCGAGGGCCTCGTCGATCGCCTCGCCAGCGGCGTCGCCGTCCACTTTGCCGATGTGTTCGCTGACGGCATCGACTGCCGACCGCTGCGGGCCAGCCGGGAGCTCTCCGCCCGATCGGGACATGGTTCAGGAGGGGGGGAGACACACAGACACAAATAATTGTCGATTCCCAGGAAAAGATGGTAAAACATCGGAAGTGGAGGGGAGACGAAAACTAAGACAGCAGGAGAAATATGAGGAATCCGGGGATTCGTGTGCATTGATCTGTGTGCCCCTGGGCCCCTTTTCGTGGTCCACTGGAGCTCCTCGGCCGCGCCCCCGGCGGCCGCGGGCACCGCGGCGCGGGCCCGGCGGGGCCGCCGCCGACGTACGCCGCCCCTGGGGCGGCGCGGCGCGGCGAAGGGCCGAGGCGGGCGCTGGCTCGGGCGCGGCGAGGCGGGGCGGGCAAGGGCGCGCTAGGGCCGGCCCGGGAGCTGCGACAGCAGGGAGCTCGCGCCCTTCGCGGCGCGGGGCGAGCCGCCTCTACGGTGCCGACGGGCCCGCGGCGCCGCAGGGGCGTCGCGGCGGACGTCGCGAGGGCCAGGGGCAAGAGGCAGCGCTGGGCAGGCCCGACGGAGAGGGGTCCGGGGAGGAGGGGCCCTGTCGGCCAAGATCCACCGAAGCCGGATCACCTCTCCCATATGGTCCACCCGCTGAAGGACAGAGGAAGGGGGTTCGGGGGCCAGCGCCCCCGCGAGCGTGGCCAGTGGCCACTTCGGAGGAGCGCGGTCGGGAACGCCGCGGCGGCTCCCCGACGGCCCTGCCCGAGGCCGCGCGCGGATCGTGGGCGCGCGGCGAGAGCGCCGACGCGCGGGGCCGTGGCCGCGCGGCCGGCCCCAGGGCATCGGCTGCTCGGAATGCCCCCCCGCTCCAGGGCCGTCGGCCGCTCGACTGGGGGCGTGCCCCGGGCGGGGCTCGGCGGCGGCCCCCGAACAGAGGGGGGCTCCGAGGGGCATCTCGGCGTGCCTCCCCAGAGATCCGACGTCGTGACTTGATCCATGCGGGGCTCTGGAAAACTCGACCCGTTCCCCAGGACTGGTTATCATCCTCCAGTCGTTTCTTGACGGCCCTATACGGCCCTGCGAATGCCCCCTCGAGGCCGAAAAATACGGAAAACCTCCGTCTTGACTTTTTCAATGCGTTGGATCTCTGGGTCGGGGATCGTCTTGGGTCCCCGCCCCCCCCGGCGGGCGCCCCCGCGGCGGGGGGGCCTCGTTGCTGCCCGCGGGCCCCCGCCCTTGCGCCGCGGGCGGGGGCGGGGGGTCCACGGCGGGAGGGGCGCCCCAGCCGCGGACAGGGCCTTCATGTGGAGGAGGGGCGGGGCTTCGGGGGCGCGCCCTCGCTGCCCCCGCGCGCCCGGGTAGTGCGGCGCGGGCGCCGGCGGCGGGGCCGTGACAATCCTTGGAAATGAGCACAAACACCAAAACAGGGGGTTGCCTCCACAGGGGGAAGACGGTCCTAGATCCTAGATTCCGGTGCTGGCGGTACCCGAGGCACGAGTACGAATACGACCTCTTGCGCCGTCCGCTGGTAGGTTTAGGTCAGGCGTGTCCCCCTACAGGGGGATTTTCGACGAAAAATAAGACATATCCCTCCCCCTCAGAAACCTTGGGGTGTAGGGGTAGGGTTCGCATGTGGCCCCCTATTGCAAGGCATGTGGCGAATGCGCAGTTTCACGTGCACTATCGCATTTTGCTTTGGGGGGATGCCTGACTTGTCACAGGGTGGCCCGTTATCGTTCTGCTCGGCTGTGTCGTCTTCTTGTCCGTTTGCGATGGACATTCATGTAGCGCAGTCCAGGCTATCACGAGCTGTTGAGATGCATTCCTCTTGGCATCTCATGGTGCTCGTTGAATCATGAGCAGATGATGGGGATGATGGGGAAGTCCAGGCAGGAGGAACAGCAGCAGTTTGATGCGCCTCCACAGTCTGCACGAAGTCTACTTCTGTGAAGCCCGCTCCCAATCCGCAAGTTTAAACTCATGTTTCGTCTCTTCAAGTTTCCCACGCTCCAGCCCCAGAGGCGCCCAAGACAGCTTCAAGACGGCCCAAGAGGCCTTCAGAAGGGTCCCAAGACCGGCCAAGATGTTCCCAAACGGCCAAAGAGGCGTCCAAGACGGCCCAGGAGAGTCCCACGACGGTCCCAAGAGGGGCCCAAGAGCGCGCTGAGGATTGCGCCGGGAGGCTGAAGACGCCCCCAGAAGGCGCCAAGAGAGCTCCAAGAGCTGCCTAATAGGCCTCCAAGACAGCCCAGGAGCGCTCCAAGACGCCCAAGATAGCTCCGAGGGGACCCCAAGACCACGCCAAGTTATCGTCTCTTCGAGCTTCCCGCACTCCAAGGCAGCCCCAAAGGCGCCCAAGACCGCTCCAAGAAGGCCCAGGAGGCCTTCAAACGGATCCCAAGACCAACCAAGGCGGCCGCAAAACGGAACCCACAACACAAGCACGGTGGCGGGATGCGAGCCCAAGAGAGGGGAACACTAACCTACAATTCGTTCCGCCCCAAGACGCGGCCCCACGAGGCCCCCCACGAGGCCCCCAAGGGGCCCCACGAGGCCCCCAAGACGCCCGCAAAACCGCCCCAAGAGGCCCCCAGACGGCCATCAAGAGGTTTCACAACTGCCTCCCACAAGCTCCCGACAGGCCTCGCACGAGAGCCCTACGAACATCCACGAGGCTTCTATCCCATGAGGGCCGAGTTAGCCCTCTTGGTCCCCTCGTGGGCCTCGCCTGAGAGGCCTCGTGGGGGACTTCCTGGGCCGCCTTCGAGATCCCTTGGGCCCTCCATGGGGCCACCCTCTGGGCGTCCTGGAGCGACCCTCTGGGCGTCCTTTGGACCCTCCTGGAGCGCCTTTGGCCTCTCTTGGCGCTTTCTGGCTCCGTTTTTTCTGCGGCCCAGGAGCCCCTCAATAGGGGGCCACATGCGAACCCTGCCCCCACCCCCCACGATTGCTGAGGGGCAGGGTGGGGTTCATTTCGCTCGGGAGCTCCCGAAGGAAGTGAACCCCCACCCTCCCCCTCGAGAATCGTGGGGGGTAGGGGTAGGGTTCGCATGTGGTGGCCCCCTACTCAAGCGCCCCAGCGCCCACCTTTGTGGTCGGTCTTCGGCCCCGGAGGCCCTTGCCCAGCGTGCTCCGGACACGCTCCTCCGGAGCACGCTCCCGCCTCGCCCTCGTGCGCTTCGTCTCGGAGTCGCGTCTCGATCCGAGACTCCGACGCGCTTCCTGCCCCAAACACCTCCTCGGCATCCCCGGCGCCCTCCATTCAGACAGCACTGCTTCCTGCCCTGCCCACGCCGCCCCAAGACGGCCCAAGAGGGCCACATGACGGTCCGAGAGGCGTCCAAGAGGGCCCAGGAGAGCCCCAAGACGGTCCCAAGGGTGGCCCAAGAGAGGGGAACACGAACCCACAATTCGAGCGTTTCGCCCCAAGACGCCAGCCAGGAGGTCCCATGACGCGTCCGAGAGGCCCCACGAGGCCCCCACGAGGCCCCCAAGGGGCCCCACGAGGCCCCCAAGGGGCCCCACGAGGCCCCCAAGACGCCCACAAACCGCCCCAAGAGGCCCCCAGACGACCATCAGGAGGCTTCGAAACTGCCTCCCACAAGCTCCCGACAGGCCTCTTACGAGACCCCATACGAACATCCACGAGGCTTCTGACCCACAGCCCGAGCACGGTGGCGGGGTGGGCCGTTGGCCACTCACTCGACAGCAGTGGTACCAGTGAGTTCTCCCTCTCGGGCCTCTCCCCGGCCTCTCTTGCGGGGCCTCGTGGAGACTTCTCGGCCGCGCCCCGCCTGCCGCGCGTTGGGGGGGGGAGGGGGAGCGAGGCCACCGCAGGGCCCCCCGCATCGGAGCGACTCTCAAGCTGCCCCCCCCCCGGCTCTGGACCCTTTTCGGCCTCGGGGGCCCTGCGCGGGAAGCGGTATCGGAGGCATCGCGCCAGGACACAAGTCTGGCAGTCCGGGAGTTGGCATGACCTCCGGGGGCTCCCTGGGACCGCGCCTTCTGCGGCCGTCTAGAGCCTCTCTGGAAGGTCATGTTGACCTTGTACGAGCCTGCTCGGATCCCTCCTGAGGCGCCTTCCCATATTCGTGGCGCCGTGTTGGGCCTATGTTGGGACGTCTCCGATCAATCAGGGGGCAGCACGGACGCTTGAGACGAGAGCTCTGAAAAGGCATGCTCGTCTCCTTGTGCGACCTTGTCGGGCGCGTTTCAGCGACGTTTGAAGCAAACTGCCCTTGATCTCAGCTAGAACTGGAGCGCGCGCGAGACGTTGGCGATGGTTCTGGTTGTAATATACATTTATGTATACACATATACACCACTGAAGGTGCCATCATGCACACGGCTCAGCAGTCATTTGCTTGTACGTCTGCTCCGTTGTTTCTCACACTCGCTTCTCCGCTGTGCTCGCGTTGAGCATCTATGCGAGCCCAGCTGGCGCGAGCTAGGCGCAGCGTGCTCACAGGCGGGGTGCTTGTTTCGCCCAAAGTTTTGCTGATCCGTCCTCCTCTGTTTCTCTCGCCTTCATCCTCTCCCCTCTTCTTCCGCCATCTGCCCCAGTCCGGGACCCGAACGTCGGCCACGTTCGCAGGACAAGCGTTCTACATGGCTGGGGGCACTTCTACTACTCTGCGATTGGTCTTATGGCGCCAAGAACCTCAGGGCAGTGCATTCAGAATCGTATTGTCGGACGGGGCGGTGACGAAGAGAAGTCCGTTCCAGAGCGTTCCAGAACGCTCTCAGAGCGTTCCGGAACGCTCTGCGAAGGCCGCGGCGCTCGAGACATCCTCCAGAGCCGCACAGATCCTAGAGATCTTCGGCTTATCCTCGCCCGATGTTATCCTCGTCTTGGCTTCGTCTTACTGTTTTCAGACTCGCACTGTCACGTTCGACACGGCTCAGCCGAGGCCGCCGGGTTCTCTCTCGAGTCTGGGGTGCGATAGGGGTGTCCTTTTGTCTCCGTTGCCGTGCGCCACGGTCGCGGAGGTGCTCCTGGGCCGCATCGAGGCTGAATGCCCTGGCATGCTCGTAAGAGCCTGCGTTTCGGCGGCGAGTGAGGGGGGGAAGTGAGACGGAGAAGGCGTTCTCAGCGGCGGCGTGACTTCTGAGAAGCCCTCGCGCCTTTGATAAGTATGTAGTATGTTGTGTCTTCGGGGAAAGATTAGAACACTTCTCAGAAGGCTGGGGGACTTCCGAGCCTTCTGAGAAGGCCCGCCCCTTCTCATTTCCCCCCCGGGAGCGCCGCCTGATGTTGACGATGCTGCTCTGGTGCTCTTGGACTACGGGCTAGAGGCGCCGAAGCTCCAGCGCATATTCGAGGATTTCGGCGCGCATCGAGGCTTGCATCTTAACATGCGCAGATGCAGCACGATTCCTCCTGCAGCACCACACGGGGGCATCCAACACCTTTGAACGGCACCTGCGCTGGGGAGCATGGGACGACCGGAACCGCTCCCGGAGGGCACCTCCTGGAGCCGGGAGCAGCTGTGCCAACGTCGCCCGCAGCGGGCCTCGTGCATGGGCGTCGCCTGGCGACACGTGGAGGCCCCGCGAGTCCTGCGGACAATCCGCTTCCTGTCGAAGCTGTACAACACCGAGACGAAGGCGACGTTGACGACGAAGCCGACGACGCCGACGACGACGACGACGAAGACGACGCGCAACAGGCGCGCCACAGCCTCGCAGCTCCCAGCGCGGGCGCGGGGACCCGCGCGCAAGAGGCGCGCCACGCCGGGCGCGCGGCGTGCGGGAGCTCCGGGGCGCGGTTCCGCGACCCCCGCGGCTTTCTCGGGGTTCGGCCCGCCGGGGCGGCTGGTGCTTCAGGGCCTCTGCGTCACAGCCAAGCCGCTGAAACAAGGAGCAGTTTGGGTAAGAAAGGGGCTCGATATTCCTCAGGGCCTTCTGTGGCTTTTCCTCTAGCCTTCCTCGTGCACGCAGGCGCCTGTGGGCGCCAAAGAGGGGCCTCGTTCCTTGTTTATCGTTCCTTCTTTCGGCGGCCCGACTGTACCTGGCAGCCGTCTGAACATCATTTCGGGTCTTCACCACCCACCAAACCACCCCAACCCAACCCGAAGGTCTCGACCTGCCCTCCATTTCTGGTGGGGGGGGGGGGTTCGGGGAGCATTGCAAAAACACGTGGAACCCGTACCCCCCCCCCCAAACCCGAAGTCCGGGTCAAATTCGGGTCTTCGGGTTGGGCTGTGGTGGTCTGGTAGGTACTCAGGTCTGCATGGGGCCCGTGGCAGAAAGGGGCGAGCTGACGTCTCGTCCAGGGGCGCGCGCCACGGCCTCCCGGGCCTCGACGTGCACAGGCCGCACCCCGCCCCAACGAGGCCGGCCTCGCGCCTGCCCTCCGGCCTCTGGCTGCCGTGGCCGGGCCTCCGCGATCCTCGACCGTGCGGGCTTTCTGCTCGGCCGTGTTTGGTTCAGAAAGTCCCCGCGCTCTCGGCGGCAGCCCTTCAGACGCAGTCCAACATGCTGCAGGAACGCCCCCCTGCTCCCCGCCACCTCTCCTCGTTCCGCGTGGGTCCCCGCGAGGCCGACTGGCGCTGCCCTGACGAGGGCTTCCCACGCCCTCTGAGCCCGCGAGCCCGCTGCCCGATGGACCGCCGGCGGCTGATACGCTCTCGTGCGCGAGGTGGCGATCAAGTGGGAACGCACGTGGCGTGGCGCCCTGTCTCGGGAGCCTTCGCTTGCCTTTCGCGCGGCGGAGGCACTGTCACCGACGTCGCCATCAAGGGCGATGGCTCCGCGCACGTCACGTACAAGGAGACCAAGGCGCGCTTGCCCCCCCCCGGGCACGGCGGAAGGAGAAGGGCCGTGAGGAAATCTCGGCCTCGCGCAAGATGACGGAAGAACAACACACACATGCCCATAGGGGGGTCGGAGGGAGGGGGACTGGCTACGGGCATGTGTGCGGGTTGTCGGACCTGGGGGGAGGCTCCCGTTCGAGCGGGCACCCCCATCCGACAACACGCACCCATAGTTCATTATGTCCCCCCCTGCGGGTATGGGTGCGTGTTGATCGTTCGTCACAAGTGTGACCCCTCGCATTGCTGGCGTGTCCCGTTGGTGCGCGCGGCTTCCTGCTGGGGGGGGGGCGCACGCGGGGGCGGGCTGGACCCCAGCAGGCAGAGGCCGCCACTGCGCCGCACCGCATGCCACGACCGGCACACGCCGCGCACCAGAGGCCACTCCCCCTCCTCCCCCTCCTCCTGCTCCTCCTGCTCCTCCTGCTCCTCCTGCTCCTCCTCCTCCTCCTCCTCCTCCTCCTCCTCCTCCTCCTCCTCCTCCTCCCTCCTCCCTCCTCCTCCTCCTCCTCCTCCTCCTCCTCCTCCTCCTCCTCCTCCTCCTCCTCCCGCGGACGCCGCCTCGGACAGTCTCACACCAGGAGGACTATGGGCACTCACGGGTCTGCTCCTGGCCAGGACTTTAACCCTGGAGGCAGTCTCTCTTTGGTGAGTCTCAAAAGGGCCTTGTGACCCCCACTCTGACGATTGCGGGGTGGGGCACAAGGGGCACGAAATTTCCTGGAGGCCCGAACCCGCCAACACCCGCACCGCCGACACCAGAGAACCCCGCGACATACGGCGAGATGGGGTCGGTGGCTGGGATGGTCGGCAGGTCCGTCGCCCTCCGAAGGATCGAAACCAAGCGCTAATCCCCCATTGGGGCCCCCGCTCCCTGGGAAAATGCCGCTGGCCGTGACGGGCCCAGGGCATCGGGTGCGGAGCCACCTGGCGCAGGACCTCCTGTGGGTCTGCTTCCCACATCTCGAGCAAGAAACTTGGGTCTCGCTGACGTGGGGCCAATGGGTGGTGTGGGAAAGAAGATGCTGCAGGGCACGTTCGCTCCGCTCGCGACGCCGAGCTCTCTTGCACTCGGCGCTATCTTCAACAACTGGAAAATGGGTCCACCACAACATTTGGACCGCTGGACCGCTGCCAGCCGCCCACGGATATGTTCGCCGAGGGTGTCGAGGGCCAGCACTCTCTGCGCGAGATCTGCGGGCACTCCAGCCTGGGCAGCGGCTTCGCTTGCGAGCCGATCCGCCTGGTCATTTACATACAGGGCCCAGTCGGGAAAACGAGCGCGCACCTCGGGGTCAGTCGCGTGACTCTTGACCTTGAGGTACCGAAGACGGCCCTCACGGGTCCCCAGGACGCGCCAATATTCGAACCAGAGCCGCCTGTTGGGGGCCTGCCTCCTACGGGGCCCTTTTGTGGTGGCCCTTGATTAAGTAAGCGGAGTCCGTAACCACCAAGAGGTCACCTTTGGTGTGACGGAGGAGCTCTATGGCCCCTTTAAGCTCCGCCCTATTTATAGTCTGGGCCCCCACGACGTTCCCTTGGAGAGTGCCGAGGGGTGTTAAATCTGAACTCCAAACCCCCGCACCCCATCCTGCTCGCCTGAGGCGGGGATCGGCCGAGAAGGCACCCCCTGAACCATCTACTGAGCCGAGGTGCCAACCGCCCCTCGGCTCTGGAGGGTCCAGGAAGGCGCCCGTCCCTTGCAGAACGGGGTGCCTGGGCGTCAGCTCCTCTACTGCTCTCAGGGCTAATTCAGTGGGGATCAGTCCGCGGAGCCATAGACAGTCGGGTTAATTGTCCCCTTGGGCGAGGTCTCGGAGGTCTTGTGTGGCTGCAATGAGAGGGTGGTCGACTTGTTCGAGGATGGGGTACCCCCAGAACTTGTGCCAATCATCGCGATGGTGGTCGCCACACAACGGGCAGGTGGCATCTTCTGTAAGGCCTGCCTCGTAGCGACGCCGTGGGCTCCAGGCGGCAACACTGCCGACAGGCTTGAGCGCCTTCGCGAGGTTGGCCTGGCCATCGCGGTAGAGGCGTTCGATCTGCCAGCGCGAACTCTTGATGTCTACTCCTCCCTGACATCCTCCTGCTGCATGCCCTCCCTGTGCTCCTCCCCATACCTTGTGATGAAGGAACTGCTGAAGCCTGCAAAGAAAGTAATCCTGATCCTCGTACTTCTCGGGGCCGACTGGGAAAACTTCGCCGGTGGGTCCTGACCAGGACCATGCTGAGTCTGGGCTCCATCCGAGGTCCAGGAGGGTTCCAATGACTGCGCTGAGGTGACTGACTACATTATTCCACCGCCTGGGACGTCGGAGCTTCGCAACAACTTTCGGCCAGGCTGCCGCGATGCCGCTCCTGAGGTGGGGCTCCGCCGCCACCAACTCGAACCACGTCTCGAACAGACGGAGGCGTAAAAAGATAGCGGGGTCGATGGCGTCGGGCGGCAGCTTAGCTTGGTGGAGCCCTGCGGTGAGGCAGCTCCCTGGCTTGCTAACGCCTAGCGCTGCCCCCGCCGCCCTCCTATGACGGGTGAGCTCGGTAGGGGCAACCCCATGACTTTCGAGGCCCCAATGAAGCTGTGGTTGGGCGCCTGCGCGGTAAAGTCGATGTGCGTTCTTGGTGACCCTGAGGAGCCTCTTGATATTCTGGTGCCTCTTGAAACCCAACCGTTGCTGAGCTCTCCGAACCTTAAGGAGCCTTCGTTTCCCTGCGGTCGAGTCCAAGCCGAGGTCCCTGGTGCCCAACTTGGTTTGTAGGGGAACGCCTTCGTCATGACAGCGTCGGAGAAGCTGGTGCCTGATTTCGTTGTCGTTCCCGAGG